GGGGGGGGGCGTCAGCATCTCGCGGCCTTATCTCTGCGTTACACATGTTGGAGCATTAAAACAAATTATTTATGTGCCTGGCGACCATGAGAGGGCGCCGAGTGACGCAGAGTGACTGGCGATGGCTGGAGCAACCAATCCGCGTCCGACCGATGGGAGCGAAAGCCGACATTTCCACCCTGCACAAGGAAAGATTAGCAGCAGTGAGCGGTCTTTATTACAGGAGGGGGCGGAGACAAGACCAGTCACCCTTCACAGTGAGAGAGAGCAGCAGTGAGCGGTCTTTATTACAGGAGGGGGCGGAGACAAGACCAGTCACCCTTCACAGTGAGAGAGAGCAGCAGTGAGCGGTCTTTATTACAGGAAGGGGCGGAGACAAGACCGGTCACCCTGCACAAGGAGAGAGAGCAGCAGTGAGCGGTCTTTATTACAGGAAGGGGCGGAGACAAGACCGGTCACCCTGCACAAGGAGAGAGAGCAGCAGTGAGCGGTCTTTATTACAGGAAGGGGCGGAGACAAGACCGGTCACCCTGCACAAGGAGAGAGAGCAGCAGTGAGCGGTCTTTATTACAGGAAGGGGCGGAGACAAGACCAGTCACCCTTCACAAGGAGAGAGAGCAGCAGTGAGCGGTCTTTATTACAGGAGGGGGCGGAGACAAGACCAGTCACCCTTCACAAGGAGAGAGAGCAGCAGTGAGCGGTCTTTATTACAGGAGGGGGCGGAGACAAGACCAGTCACCCTTCACAAGGAGAGAGAGCAGCAGTGAGCGGTCTTTATTACAGGAGGGGGCGGAGACAAGACCAGTCCCCCTGTGCAAGGAGAGAGAGCAGCACTGAGGTGTACATTCTGGGCGGTCGCTGTTCTCCATCTTTCCTTTCATTGGTCCCCGGTCTTGCGTTCTAGTCGGGGGGGCGGGGTCACGTCTGGCAAATCATTTACATAATGATACATTTGTATCCCGTCGTTGGAGCCCCATTACTCAGCTCAGACGCGCGCCTGTTGTGAATTCGCGGTTCCGGGAGCGGTAAACATATGCAAATATGTGCGCGGGTTAATCTAGCGTTACGTTAACGGCTCGATGGATGCAGGAGGAAGACCGATACTTCCAGCGGGTGGGCTGCACGCAACGCGGCGCAGAGGATTAAAGGGCCAGCGACCACGAACTGTACATTGTATCTGAAGGAAGCTTTCTAGACTGTGGAAGGTCATTGAATTCATTTGTATAGAGTATGGAAGGGGTTAAATATCCTTTTTGTTTTTTTACTTTTTGCTTCACTTCCTGTCCCGGTGACACAACAGGAAGTGAAAGGAAATCTCTCCAAAGTGAATGCAATGTCACTTTAGCAGGTGTCCCCGTTGGCTTACTTCTCCTCTCTTCCTGTCCCGGTGACAACCTTCAAGCTGAAGTTTAATCTGCTTATATGTTACCTCCCCTCAGCCATGATGCAATCAGTGGGAGGAGTTATGCAAATATGGATGCAGGCGGATCATGGCTGGTGGAGGGGCCGGCAGGCCGTGCAAGACTAAAGGGGAGGACGGGGGTCAGATTTAGACATTTAGGAGGGTGAATTTAGGAGGGTGAATCTAGGAGGGTGAATCTTGGAGGGTGAATTTAGGAGGGTGAATTTAGAAGGGTGAATCTTGGAGGGTGGTTTTAGGGGGGTGAATCTTGGAGGGTGAATCTTGGAGGGTGAATCTTGGCAGCGGTAACGCGCCCAGCGTCAGTGCATTGATTTAGAAGCTTTCCGATAGACGCCTCCTGCTTGCGTCCCGACTGCGGATCTGCTCGGGGAGGAGTCGCCCTTTAGCGGGTTATCTCAGGAGATCGATTCGAGAGACAATCTTTATTAACAGGCAGAGTAAACAAAGGGCTGCGGCGGCGAGGGG